ATTTTGCAAATTATAAAAAGGTAATTTACACAAACTTTCCCTATACTTTGCCATACTTAACAAGAATCTTTCTCATCTGGTTTAGGAATTTACTGGGATCTCACTTAAAAATGAAACTAATCTACACGGATCTCCCTAGAATCAATGTCAATGACGGATTATGCTGATTTCATGTACTAAATTAAGTAAAATACCCATTTTACCCTTCATCTATCTCCTCTCTTATCACTTTCTCTCTCTATATTAGTCAACCCACAAACAGGGCCGTACTGCATAAATTTACATATATATCTTGTACAGTCGGCAAAAGTAGAATTATGAAAGCTTCCAGGCAATGATAGAATCAGCGGGCAAGCTTTTGATCGACGAGCAAATACCAAAAATTTTGACGGTGAAGACACAGTGACTGTGAGGAGGACGACAACCGGAGAGAAGTTTAGGTCCTTTTAATTCTGAGCGATTCCGGCAAAAGGAATGGTGGCTGCGAACGATTGGGTTTGTTGGTATGACATTTGCAATTGGGTTTGGCTATTGTGATTTGTTGTTGTAGAAATTTTCCTCGGGGCGGGGGCTGGGATATATATATATATATATATATGCATACCTTAAAGAAAACTCAATTCATGAATCGTCGTTGCCGCTGCCAACCTCCACCGACCGGCGAATTGTTTCGACAATCTCTTCCTCCACCTCACACACATACATACACACACTCTCTCTCTCTTCACTTTCTAACTTTACATAATATACGCATACACAACAAATATATACACACACACACAACAAAGATGGAGGAAAAACAGAGATGGTGGTGGCGGTGACCGCGGTGGCGCCCAGGGTGGTTGGTGGTTTTTTGTATGTAGATGGTGGTGGTGGTGGCTCCAAACAGTTTGAGATTTATTTATTTTTTTATGTTGTCTCTCTCTCTCTGTGTATATATAGATAGGGTACTTCAGTCATTTATCATAAAAAATTAAGGACATTTTAATAAATTAACCAGGTCTGTTAGTGTATTTGACGGTCCGTCACACATAAGGGAGGTCCGTGTAAGATAATTTTATTATATATATATATATATATATATATATATATATATGGGGTACTTCAGTCAATAAAAAATTAAGGGCATTTCAGTAAATTAACTAAGTCCGTTAGTATATTTAACGGTCCGTCACACATAAAGAAAGTCCGTGTAAGATGGTTTCATTGTTACTAAAGCTTCTAGTAAATTCTCGAATCACATAGAAAGTCGTATAATTATGACAAATCATAAAAGGGTTTATTGTAAATTAACCATTATAAAATGTTAAATCCATATGAATTCAACAAATTGGTCTTCAACACGAAGATGATGCCTAAAACAATGAATCATTTTACATCATGACTTAGAATTTGGATGCAAACTGCCAAAGTGTGTGTTGTATATATATATATATATATATATATATATATTAAAAGAAGCAAACAACTCTCATTTGTTTTTTTGTAACAAATAAAAAATAGGAAAAATACCTTGATAGAGAGAGTCAAGTCTACTCAAGGCCCAAAGGTAACAAATTTGCCATGAGAACAAACCTTAAGAAAGGAACAGATGAGGAGGTGATTGATGGAGATGGACAGTGGCCACATTTTGCATTGGAATTTTGTTGCTTGTGGTTGTATCTCTTATCCCTTCTGGCACATATGTTTCCTTGATAGAATCATGAAAAGTGGACTCTGGCCTGAGGGTATGAATACACACCAAAAAAGAAACCATACAGGCATATACATAGTACATACAGCTGTATAGCTATGTAGGTCACCCTGTGCTAAGGGGTCATTTTTGGGCAGAAGAAAGTGGGAGGATGACTTGTTTTTTATTTTTTATTTTTTTTATAATGCATTTCGCTTTGAAAGTAAAATGAGATTTGTCTTTAATTTGAGATTAAGTATTAGAGATAATTTGTCATTTAATTAAAAAAAGAAAAGAAAATAAAGTGCATTTATATAGAAACTGAGATTCCAAATTTTGTTATCGAGTTAGCAACTCATGATTGTGATGGACTTAATGGTTGATTCTCCAAAGGGACCTATCAAGGTGTTAGTAATTTAATTTAATTTAATTTAATTTTTCAACTTCTAGAGAGGGTGAACCAACATAAAGTAATCAACTTTTTAAATAAAAAGGGATGATGAATTCAATATTATCATATTTTAAATTTTTTTTTTTCATTTGCTTTTCAACTGTCTCTCTCTCTCTCTCTGGGGATCATCTGGCACTCAAGATTGAAGATTAACAGTAAATCATTTTTATTGTAGAGAATAATATTTTCCACTGAATAAAATAAAAAGTCACACACAAAATTTGGCCCTGGTTTTTCTAAAGTAGCTTACCTTTTTGAAGTTTACATTGCAATAATCTAACTTAGACCATACAGAATCACTATGGTGAGAACATGGTTAAAAGATGAATCCTTTTACTCTATTCAAATATCTTGTATTAGGAGGGTTCTTGTGGTAGGTGAAGACAATAAATAAATAATTAAAAATGATACTGAATAGTAATATATAATAAATACTAAAATATTGCAAAATAGGAACACTCTTAATGTGGCATGTAATATATATATATATATATATCATGGGAATATGTCATCATTGATACTTTTGGCTTTTGAGAGGCAGTCCTTCAATTGAGGAAAGGTCAGGCAATCAAACATTTGGTACTAGAATGAATACAAGGTTGAGGCTGATTTAGGCTAAAGGGAAGTATACATTGCCATGATCTCTTAAGGCTCACATCCTATCAACATACATATTTGTGCAAAATGAGCTTTCCAAAAAGCTATATATATATATATATATTTATGTGTGTGTGTGTAAGGAGTGGCTAGCTTTTATTGCATCTGATATGAGAGAATTCATCATCATCAACATCTCTATTTTTCTCTCTCTAGATCCTTTTAGGGTGGGTTTCAGGATATGGAATGATTGGCTTCATTGAAAGGGACTATCTTGTGTTATACAGAGGACCCATTGTTCTGATGGGGCTCAACAATCAGTCTCAGTGGGATAGTGGACAAAAATCAAGAAATCAAATGATATCAATAAATAATACTTGTGAAATTTAGAGCATACTAATTTCTCTTCTAGTTTCAATGTTGCGAAAGGAACAAAGTTAGACTACCAAAGGCCCCATATATGTTGATGTTGTTTCTTAATCTTTGAGAACATTACAAAGATAAATATCTTTAATGAGATTCTCATCATACTGTTGACTTTTTTTCTTTTTCTCTTTTTTTTTTTGGGTGAAATGTATAGTGATGGTACTCTTGAAATTGAGTGGCAAAACAATTACCCAAAAAAAAAGAAGAGAAAGTAGCAAAACTAAAATAAGAAACACATTTTTGAGTATAACCCAAGCTAAGAATAAGCTCGTCTTGGATTAGTGTTCGACCTTGGTTAAAGATTTTATACTTGCTTATGATACCTTCTTAAAAACATTACTCTTCCTAATATTTATTTTATTTTTATCTTGACAAATTAAAAGAGGGGACACAGACACGGACACAGACACAGACACAACAAATCCCCCAATATTCTACCAGCTAGAAAACTGAATAATGTTTATTCTTCCCAATATTTTAAACAATGATAAAACATGATAGTTTTCTTTGTTTCTGTAATGCTCCATAGAGGCTTAACAAATTTATAGTTTCTATTGTTACAATAAATCACACGTCATGATTTGAGTTTTGAATATTTTGACAATTTAATGGTTGTGCAGTCGCTGACTGATGGAGTTGTTAGAGGAATTGGTTAACAATTTGATTTCCTTTAAAGATTAGTAACTCTTATGAAACTTAATACCAAACAAAGCAACTCAATATTAAATGTTCTATTATAAACAAGTTATGGGGCCAGAGGTCAGTTGTTCACCTACTCGATAAGAGATAAAGTTGTTTTCTTGCTAGCTAGCGTAAATAATTATACAAGACTGACAGACTTGTATTGTGTTACTTTTTAAATAGTTATAAGAATGTGTTCAAATTTTACTAAATATATTTATAATTTTAAAATATATATATTTATTTATTTTTAACACAAATACTTAATTCTAAGATATTTCAAACATGTATCCAATGTATTTAACCAATGCTTCTTAAATACATTTTTAACAAATTTTAAATATTAAAATGTAGATTTTTTTAATAATAATATCATTGTATAGTTGTTAAAAAATATTATTATTTTTGTATATACAAAAATATAAATTATTATTTTTATAAGTTTTGTTTTAAAATTTTCTTATCTCCGTACCCAACTTGTTATATTCATATCCTGTGATTGGTAGGCTGCTTAAACCTAAGAATGTTGATCTACTGTATTCATGCTTCCTAATTTCGTTGATTTATAGGACCGCTAAAGCCCTAAGAATGTTGATCTAGCTTTTAAAAGTGTCATAGGCCTATATTTAGTTCATTAAAACTGAATTCGTACTTGGGCCTGAAATCACAATGCAATAAACTCTTCTCGGAACAAAAATGTAAACGAATTTGTATTATTAGAACTAAAAGGTATCAACGTACGTGTTTCAAATTATTTATAAATAAAATAATTTACTCAAAATTCAACAAATAATTTACTCAAAGCCCAATAAATAATTGGGGTTTGAAAGCTCCCAACGGCCCAACAACAATAATTTGGGTTGGGTTGAGAGCTCCCAAGCTCTCCCAACCCATTCTTTAGATTAAGACACCAATATACCTGTTCACAAATCTCAGAGTACTTAAAAGTGTTTGTTTAAGAAAACAAAATTTTCATAAATGTCGTTTCTTTATATTTTTGAAGGCTTCCTATTCATCCTAAAATAGAAACATATGCCTCTCTGTCTCCCTTAATGTTATTTGGTTTTCCTCTTTTAAAATTGTCTTTATTTATTATTGTAGGAGGTTCTTGTTTTGTTTAGCACTAGCTTCTATTTTCTTCTCAAATTTGTGAATTAATTCTTGAATTCCACTGCAAAGATCCTGAATATTAGTTCCTGGTGTAAAAAAGTTTACATTCTTTTTGTAATTTGCAAAGATTCTGAATTTTAGTTACTGTTGTAAAAAGTGCACATTCTTTCGTACAACTACACCAGCTTATCACCTTGCACCATCATATCAATGTTGTCATTCTCCACAGTGATGCTTTCAGGGCATGGACTGGCTACATCTGACTAATATAGTGGTTTGGTTGCAGGGTAATGTCTTATTTCTCAACTTAGGAGGAAGAATAATTCAGACACTTGAGAAAAGTCTTACAATGACAAGATGAATGGAACTATACACACACAAAATTCTAATTAGCAGTGAGGGGAAAACCAATTCCGTGGCGTTTGGTAGGGAACACAACAAACAACATACTGCAAATGACCCCTATCCCGACTGGCATTGCTGTGAGGAGCTCTTTGGTCTCGTCTGATGGCATAGGGTAGAAGCAGTTCACCACATCTTGATCAAAGAGTGCAACAGCTCCGAAAACCAGTATTGACACGAAGGCATGTATAAAATCCATAACTTGCAGCCGGTACTTGGCATCATTTTCTGGTGGTAGATTTGCTGAGCAATCAATGAGCCACAACCCCCGGAATGTGGCAAACCCATAACAAACATTCCCATTCTTGTCCTTGAAGCTGTCGGTGAAGCACAATAGAAAACATGACAGCCCACAGAGAGCTATCAGCCCAGCAGTCAAGGACCGGCTGACCCAGTCACACTCGCCTTGGTTTGTGAAAATAGGTGACAAAAGTTGGAATGCAAGAACCGATCCAGTAGGTAAAAGATTGGCTAAATGAGCCGTGCTCTGAAATGTTTGGCTAATGGCTCTCTGTATGAGGGTTTTCTCTTCTGCTTCAGGTAGGGGTATGTCTTGCAGGAGAGGGAGCTTTTGGTCACCGTGATTCCGAGATTCCTCATTTTCCACCGTAATCTCCATGGTGCTTAATTTGTGGTGGTAGTTGATTGTGAGAAGCTGGTGCATTTATAAGTAACGACGTAGATGAGCATTGAGTGAAATAGAAGGGAGGGAAAGGTAGCTTAATGATGCCTTGTAAGAAACAGAAACTTTGATGTAAAGCAGTTTTTCCAGGATTCTAGCAGGGAAATTTTGGTTTCGTATGATGCTTGGTGCCAAAAACACAGTCACAAAAGGCTTACAGGAATGGCTTCTTTAACGTGTATAAAGCTTTGATAGTCGTTAGGAACTTGTTTTGGATGTTGATATTACATACGATATTTCATTTTATGCTGTATTATAATTTGGATGATGTTTGTTGAGCATACCTAAACGTTATTTTTTATTTTTTATTTTTATTTTTTGAGAGCTTAATGTCACGAAGTGATTCCTAAGACGCTTGGAGGATGGAAGACACGCATGCTGGTTGGCAAAGAGCAGAGTTTGACTGGGAATGGTTCCAGGGAAGGGGCGTGCAGGAGCACAGGATGGTACCTCTTCAGAGTTCAGGCAGGTCGACTCGGTTCAGTTCGAGGTGCTTGTCGCTGGTCGTGGACTTGACTATGAAGAAGGGAGTTGGCCATCCCTGCACAAACTGGTCGGGAGCTGGAGCCGTTCCCCTGACGAGGCCATGGCAGGCCGAAACCAGTCAGCATGTATCCTTGGGAGGGCAGGTCGTGGTGGCTGACCAGGGCGCTTGCGCGAGCTGAAGCAACGCCTTGGTGCCGCACGGGCCGTGCCGCTGCGCCAAATCTCTAGGCCCGTGACAAATGGTATCAGAGCAGGACTTGGGGTAAAGCACGGTGGGGTGCCCCCTTGTCGGTCCGGGAGGGGTCAGAGAATGAAGACGGTGCATTGAAGTTGCGTCGATGTGGAGGAATCAATGCAGTTGGGGGGGAGAGCCTCCATCTCCCCAGGAAGAGGCGTCCGTTGAAGTTGCGCATTGAAGGGCCGGAGGGCCGCGCGCACCAAAGTTCGTGCTTAGTCCTTGGGTGATGCAAACCATGGTGAAGGGCGAGCATCAAGTCGGCAGAAGGCCATTGCTTGCTCGGGATGTCGCGGAGGCGGCATGACGGAGAAGAGTCACGTCCTTGAGGAGTGGACGTCCCCTTGGTCCGAGGCCTATCATTGGGCGAGTGCAGTGCAGGGAGCTGCACAAGGAAGCGATGGTGGGAAGGCGAGCATACCGCATGGAGGCAGACTTTGGAAGGGAGTGGACGCAGTAGTGAAGCGCCGCACTGCGACGAGGACGTCGCAGGATTTGGGTGGGGGAGAATGTCACGAAGTGATTCCTAAGACGCTTGGAGGATGGAAGACACGCATGCTGGTTGGCAAAGAGCAGAGTTTGACTGGGAATGGTTCCAGGGAAGGGGCGTGCAGGAGCACAGGATGGTACCTCTTCAGAGTTCAGGCAGGTCGACTCGGTTCAGTTCGAGGTGCTTGTCGCTGGTCGTGGACTTGACTATGAAGAAGGGAGTTGGCCATCCCTGCACAAACTGGTCGGGAGCTGGAGCCGTTCCCCTGACGAGGCCATGGCAGGCCGAAACCAGTCAGCATGTATCCTTGGGAGGGCAGGTCGTGGTGGCTGACCAGGGCGCTTGCGCGAGCTGAAGCAACGCCTTGGTGCCGCACGGGCCGTGCCGCTGCGCCAAATCTCTAGGCCCGTGACATTAAGCCCTGTATTTTGTTATTCTGCTTTTGTTAACCCCAACACGCGATTACGTCACATGCTTGAAAGCTTACATATGCCATTCGTGAAATTAAAATCACTAAAGCTATGGGAATTCGATAAATGTGTAATATAGGAAAGAAACTTGGGCATCTTAAGCAAGTTGAATGGTAAACATGACTTCAACTCAAGGCATAATTTTTTTAATCAAGTTCAATCTGATGAGTTGATCCAAGATGATCTTTTCCTTTTAAGTTCTTTTGGGTTATATTCAAATCAGGCACTTGAGTCAAATTCAAGAAGCCTTGTATCTGTCCTTGCACGTTTAGGTGTCCTTGCACGTTCAAGTTAAGTTACATACATAATTTGTTTATTTGGGAAGTCGAATTTTCACCATTCACTTTGGAAAGTAAAAAAATTATAACTAAAGCTACGTTTGTTTCAACGTAAAATATATTTTTTGAAAAATATTTTTGTTTTTCAGGTAAAATATTTTTTTATTTTCTTTTGTCAGTATTTGACAAAGGTCTAGATTGAGGTCAAGTCCATCGGGCGGAGCATGTAAAATAACTTGTCGAAAATTTTTAAATAAATTTTTTTGTTAATTTTTAATATTTTTTTTCTTTGTAAATATTTTATGACAACCAAATACCAGAAAAAAAAAAAAAAAAAAAAAAAATTTCTTGAAGAATGTTTTACGTCCAAATAAATGGAGCCTAAGCCACAAATATCTTGATTTTTAAAACAATTTTTGTAACTGTTTCTTCTTTTTTTGGGATTTTATTTTTATTTTTATTTTTATCTATAAGCATAGTCAAAATCTGTTTATAGTATTCAAAATTTTCTAATTGAGATTTAGGCTATTGATGTTCTTAAAAATAAAAAAAAAATATAATAATTGGATTCTACAACAGCTTTCTACATTTGTGTAAAAGTTTGTGGAGTATTGTAGAATGGTGGAGGATTCTAGAAGGTTAGAGAATTTGCCGAATTTGGTAGATTGTAAAATCTTTTAGATGAGAAGAGTGTTTTGTAGAGGGTAAACGTGTAGGAAATTTGTGTGTATAGTTATAAGGTAAATAGGATGCTATATAAGGAGGAAGTATCAATTACCACATAGACGATCTAGCTTCTTGCAAATTAGCATATTGTTAATCCATTTCTTTATCAATCTTAGGATTAAAAATATTTGCTAAAGGTTATCAAATTTGCTATTGAAGCAACCATAGGCAAATTAAATAAGCAAAATACAAAACAATCAAGATAATACAATGCAATAGTGCATGTAGATACAAAATGAATGCATTTACTTTATATTGGTTAATTTTGCATCTTATTTTGTGAACCCTTGAGGAAGAAATATAAATTCCACTAAAAATAATAGTATGAAAATATTATTAATTACCCACATTACCTTAAAAAAAAAATTAAACAATTATACAAGCTTAGGAAAAGGAAAAAAAGAGCAAAGGGTCACAAAATTCTGCTTCAACATTCACTTCGTCCCAAATTAAAGGCATAAGACCAAATGACATTAGCTACTACAAGTTTTCATTTCTTAATTGTTTAAGGAGATCGTGATTTCTTTATAAGCTACTTTTGTCTAGCCACACAAATAATCAAACAAAAAAAGTCATTAAACATAATGTAGCTTCCATAACAGTTACCATAAATGCAGTATTAAATGAACTATATATTGCATTACAAAAAACAGGGAAAGAATAATAAAAGATAATCAAAATTTGATCTTACCTTTTTTTGTAATTTGATAAGTAATGGTACTCCTGAAGCTCGTCGCCTGCACTAGGCGAAACAAGGCTCTCAACACAAGTATCCACCTCGAGAAAAAAAAGGGAATTATGATCGGAAGGATACCTAAATGTACAACTAAATATGAAAATCCCAACAACATTTCACCATTCCTAGATATGCACAATGGGACCGAATACTGAGAAAACCCGGGATCTGTCAAATAAGGGAATCCTTATTAATTTAGTCCAAGAATCTTTCAGACCATATTCCTTTATGACCCATATATTTGCATGAGTTCCACTATAGTTACGCAGCACATATAGGCATCCTCTCAAAATCCCCAACTTCAATTTGAAATAGCCATCTCTGTAAAGACTATCCAAAACACCAACTCTGCAAGCACCATCTCTTGTATGTCTCCTTCGCTAAATCAAGAGAAACAATCACCCAAGAATAATTTGATCCGTTACTGATTCCCATAGGGCTGGAGAAAAAAACTTATTCAAAACCCTAGACAGACAGAAAGAGTCAATCCCGAATCAAATAGTGATGTTGTGAATACTCCCAAATTTTGTGCATGATTCGAATACAAGATGATCATGTAATTCTTAAAATCAGATCATTGAGTAATACCTAAATCTATTGAGAAATTTATAGAAAAAAATCTTTAAATATTTATGATCTATTATTACTAACATATATGCAATTATGTGTATATATATATATTTCTATTTGTATATACCCACGTTCTTACAGTCATCATCATAGTGTTTATCGTTACATTACCTTCTCAATTTTTTTTTTTTTTTTTTTCAATTTATTTGTAGGGCTGAGCTAAGCACGTGATGACTCTTTTACTCTTCACGCCCAAGAAGTTTTTGAGAACCACGCTAGATTCGATCGTTTTTTCGAGGGTTACCCTTCGGCCCCCTTATCATTTTCCTTAAATTATTTATAAATAAAATAATTTACTCAAAATTCAACAAATAATTTACTCAAAGCCCAATAAATAATTTGGGATTGAAAGCCCCTAACGGCCCAACAACAACGTGATACAATTGGGGTATGGCGAGTTGGAATTAGGTTTTACACCAAAAAATAGATAAACTTAGTTGAAGCTTTTCCAACCCACTCTTTAGATTAAGTGTTACAAGTGAAACTTGTCTCACATCAGATTTGAATGGGGGTTGAAGTTTGTATAAATGAGTGGGTATACAGCATTACCCAATAGTTCGCGTTTTTTGATAAACGGGCAAGTGCCTACCCGTTACATTAAGACAGCAAGATTCATGTTCACAAATGTTAGAGTACTTAAAGTGTTTAATTAAGAAACCAAAATTTTCACACATTTCTGTCCATAAAAAAATGATACATGTTTTCCTTAGGTAGGAAATCACTTACGTACAAAGGTAAAAACTCTAGGCTTGTGCCCTAGGTTGCCTTTGGGCCTGTTTTGCCCCTTGGGCTTGTTTTACCTTAAGGTCATGTAATGGGCTATGGCCCAAACTTTGTACATATTTATTTCTAATATATCAGTTGCTTTATTCTCCGGAAAAAGAAAAAAAAAAAAAAAAAAACGCATCCTATTTACCTTATACAACTCTACTCACAAATTTCCTACACATTTACCCTCTACAAAGCACTCTTCTCATCTAAAAGATTTTTACAATCTACCAACCTCATATAAATTTTCTAACCTTTTAGAATCCTCCACCTTTCTACAATACTCCACAATCTTCTACACAAATGTAGAAAGTTGTTGTAAAATCCAATTATTATATTTTTTTTATTTTTAAGAACATCGATAGCCTAAAAACAGATTTTGACTTTGCTAATAGGTAAAAATAAAAATAAAAATAATATCACAAAATAAGAAGAAACAGTTACTAAAATTGTTTTAAAAATCAAGCTCTTTGTAGTTTAGTGGTAATTTTTTTACTTCTCGAAAGTGAATGGTAAGGGTTCAAGTTCTCAAAGGAACAAATTATGTGTGTAACTTAACCTGAACATGCAAGGGCGGATGCAGGGTGATTGAGCCCCCAATTTTTTTATTTTTTTATTACTATAGGTAAATTTAGCCCAATTTAAAAAAAAAAAAAAAAAAAAAAAAAAAAAAAAAGGGGGTAGTTGTATTAGCCCCAAATATTAGTCCATCCAACCAAACTCAAGAGCTAAGCCACAGTTTTAAAACAAAAGCCCAAACAAGTCCTAAATCCCTGATATTAGCCCTCATTCATGAATTCGCCTGAATTAGCTGATTTGAATAACTGATTTGAATATAACCCAAAAGAGCTTAAAAGAAAAAGATCGCCTTGGATGAACTCATCAGATTGAACTTGATTAAAAAAATTATAGCTCAAGTTGAAGTCATGTTTACCATTCAACTTGCTTAAGCTGCCCAAGTTTGTTTCCTACATTACACATTTATGGAATTCCCATAGCTTAGTGATTTTAATTTCACGAATACATGATGTTGTATGCTTTTACGCATGTGACGTGATGATGGCGTGTTGACGTTTGTTTCAGAAATTTGCATAAATAATCAATGTAGTGAGAATGTGAGTAAAAGATGAAAGAGCGTTTACATTTTAAATTTTAGTTAACTAACATTCAAGATTGTTGAGTAAGGGGTGAGCGTTTACATTCTGAATTTTAGTTAACTAACATTCAAGATCTAGAGCTGCTTTCTTTTACTGTTTTCAGATATCTTGTATGAATATTAGGGAAGATTTATTTATTTATTTTTTTAAAAAAAAATAACTACTGTCTTGTATCAGGAATAAGATTAGAAAGTAATAATTGTTGAAATCTAATTCAAAAAATAAGATATAAATACTTCAGTATATTTTATCTCAAAATACTATTGACATCACATTATTTCATCATACTATTACTATTATCGTTTATTAATGCCAAATTTTTAATTGTACTTATTAAGAAAAATTCGTATATATATATATTTCCATTTCGCATTTCGTATTCCTTGAAAAATGCTTGATTTAATTCTGAGGCAACCAGATCATGAATTCATTGTAACCATGAAGTTATTATGGCTTGTAAGGTATTTCTATATTTATTTTGTACATTTTGAAAAGAAAAAAAAAAAATTTCCCCATTATTATATGCATTTTGTTTTGAAAGTTCAAAAATACCGTCCCTCAAAAATAATAAAATTAACTAAAGAGAAAAGTTGAAGTGAAAATATGCTAGAATTTGCAAGGGCTAAAGGGGAAGATAATGTTTAGTAGTGTGTTATGTGTGAGACTAAAGTCTAAAGTGTAAGACAATTGTTAGTGGTATGTTTAAGTGGCGAAGAAAAGAATACTGAGCTATAATTTGTAGTTGGTATGTGTGTTAAACAAAAACAGTTGTGTTTGGTAGGATTGATTAAGAGGGATAGGGAGAGAAAAGAAAAGAAAGGATAAGGTGGGAGTGTGTTTTGGTAGATTAAGTGGAGAGAAAAGAGAAGATAGGTAGGGATCACTCCCTATCCCTAATTTGATTTCTCTCCTAATTTGAAAAGATAGGAAAAGAAAGGATAGTGGAGTAAGTGATTAATTAGTAATACCAAAAATGTCCTCCACAAATCAATATACAGAAAAATTATTCCATTTATATCCCAAACAAGAATAACTATTGTTTCTTTTCTGAAAGAATAGGACAGTAATTTAGTCACTATCATTTCTTTTATTTTCTCTCATCTCCTCTCCTCTATCTTATCCAAACAAGAATAATTATCATTTATTTTCTTTTCTCCCATATCTATCCAAACAAAATTATTACTATCATTTCTTTTCTTTCTCCTTTAACTAATAATATCATTTCTTTTCTTTTCTCCCCTATCTTTCCAAACATACCTCATGTCTTCGTAACGACTATCAAAGCTTTATACACGTTAAAGAAGCTATTCCTGTAAGCCTTTTGTGACTATGTTTTTGGCACCAAGCATCATATGAAACCAAAATTTCCCTGCTAGAATCCTGGAAAAACTGCTTTACATTAAAGTTTGTGTTTCTTGCAAGGCACCATTAAGCTACCTTTCCCTCCCTTCTATTTCACTCAATACTCATCTACGTCCTTACTTATAAATGTACCAGCTTCTCATAACCAACTACTACCAAAAATTAAGCACCATGCAGATTAAAGTGGAAAATGAGGAATCCCGGAATTGTGATGACCAAAAGCTCCCTCTCCTACTACGTGAAGCAAAAAAGATAACCCTCATACAGAGAGCCATTAGCCAGACATTTCGGAGCACGGCTCATTTAGCCAATCTTTTACCTACTGGATCGGTTTTTGCATTCCAACTTTTGTCACCTATTTTCACAAACCAAGGCGAGTGTGACTCTGTCAGCCGGTCCTTGACTGCTGGGCTAATAGCTCTCTGTGGGCGGTCATGTTTTCTATTGTGCTTCACCGACAGCTTCAAGGATAAGAATGGGAATGTTTGTTATGGGTTCGCCACATTTTGGGGCATGTGGGTCATTGATTGCTCAGCAAATCTACCACTAGAAATTGATGCCAAGTACCGACCACAAGTTATCGATTTTATACATGCTTTCATGTCAATACTGGTTTTGGGAGCTGTTACACTCTTTGATCAAGAAGTGGTGAACTGCTTCTACCCTATGCCATCAGATGAGACAAAAGAGCTCCTCACAGCAATGCCAATCGGGATAGGGGTCATTTGCAGTATGTTGTTTGTTGTGTTCCCTACCAAACGCCACGGAATTGGTTTTCCCCTCACTGCTAATTAGAATTTTCTCCGTGTTAAATTCATACCAGTATAGTTCCATTTATCTTGTCATTGTAAGACATTTCTCAAGTGTCTGAATTATTCTTCCTCCTGTCAATTTGAAGTTGAAAAATAAGATATTACCCTGCAATCAAACCACTATATTAGTCAGATGTAGCCAGTCCATGCCCTGAAAGCATCATTGTGGAGAATGATAACATTGATGGTGCAAGGTGATAAGCTAGTGTAGTTCTAGGAAAGAATGTAAACGTACATTTTACTAGGGGTGCATAAAGAACCGGAACCGGAACCGGTTCCGATTTCGGTCCCGGTTTCGAATTTATGAACCATGGACATACAGTTCCGGTTCCGGTTCCAACCCGTGGGAACCGGTAAGAACCGGAACCGTATATATATATATATATATATATATATATATATATATATAATTTTATACTAAAAAAGAAGTATAAAAAAACCTATTTTTTTAGTTTTTTGCCCTAAATCTCTCTCTCTCTCAGTCCTCGTCTCCTCTCAATCTCTCATCTAAATAGACGAAGTGACGAACCCTAAGCTAAGTCTCGCCTCCTCTGAAGTCTGACCTCTTATCATCCTCGCCTGAGTCGCCTCCTCTCATCTCCTCAGTCCTCATCGCCCTCGCCTCCTTTCAAGTATCATCTGAAGTTTCCTCGTCAATTCAGTCCTCATTACCCTCGCCATCTCAGATTTCGTTATTTATCATCTCCAATCTCAGATTACTCGGTAAGTCCTTGACCGATCTGTCACTCCCATCTCAGATTTCTCATCAATCATTCATCCTCACTCCCATCTCAGATTTATGAGTCAAGTGAATCCTCCAAACTTCTCAGACAGTGACACGGTCACACGGCTTCAGATTCCTTAGGTCGAAAGATGCCAAACAATCTGACTTCAACAAAACTAGAATCCCAAGAAAGCCCAGCAATCAACAATTCAGCAAAACCCTGAATTTGTATTTCAAAGAAAAGCAACTTAGACAAAGAAAGTGAAAGATGTGTTTGGTGTTCATGTGCAATAAGGACGAAAGGTGATATCTAGGCAACCGGTACTAGGGTCGTGTCCGTACTGTGGAGGGATGATACATGCCATGGACGTTGAGAGTCAATGGAGGTTCTGTTTCCTGCCTCTATATTTTAGGACCAAGAAAAAGTACTATTGCAGTATGTGTGCTAGGCATTTGGTCGTCAAATACTACGACTGTTTGTAGATCAAAGTGACGAAGACAGTGGTTCTCTCCTCATCAGAACAATTGGAGACGGATCTCAGATGGGTTAGCTTGATGATTAATGAGTACTACTTTAATTTGTTTGGTTTGTTTGCTCGCTTTTTTTTTTTTTTAAGTATATGTATATATATATATGAATCATATGATATTACTTCGGTGTATCTTGAAGTTTAGTATTCTTTTTTAATTCTATCACTTTTTTTTTTTGGCCTGAGATATATGATTTAATGAAATAAGGGGTATTAAATTCAGAAATGATTACTATTATTGGACTGTGTTGGAGTCTATTTTAAATTTTCCTCATCAAAGGTAGCCTAAATCACATTGATTTAGTTTTGAATTCTGTAGATGGCTAACTATGGTAGTGTAATTGTAGAGAAGTCATTTTCTTTTGCTTCTACCATGGATGAACATAATTCTAGAATCTTTATACTAATACTTTACGGTTCCGGTTCCGGTTCCATTTTTAAGGAACCGTCGTGAACGGTTTCGGTTGGCGGAACAGTGAGAACCGGAACCGTGTGCACCCCTACATTTTACAACAGTAACTAAAATTCAGAATCTTTGCAAATTACAAAAAGAATGTAAATTTTTTACACCAGGAACTAATATTCAGGATCTTTGCATGCAATTTGCAATGGAATTAAAGAATTAATTCAGAAATTTGAGAGGAAAATAGAAGCTAGTGCTAAACAAAACAAGAACCTCCTACAATAATAAATAAAGACAACTTTAAAAGAGGAAAAGCAAATTACATTAAAGGAGACAGAGAGGCATATATTTCCATTTTAGGAAGACTTCAAAAATATAAAGAAACGACTTTTAAGAAATTTTCCCTTATCACAATATGCATATATAATTAAAATATGAAAGAATACCAAGTTATGCTGTTATATGCCAAGCATGAGTTTCAGCACAACCCTACATTTGCCTCTATTCACCATGCCAAATCCTCACGCTAACCATCTGCCCTTACCCATGAGCTAGTAATTATTTTTTCCTTATAATTTCTTCATCATCTTTGCTTTTAATCGATTACTTACAATGTGTAATAATAAAACACACACACACACACACACACACACACACACACACACACACATATATATATATAATTTAAATTATATCTAGAATTGTCTCAGTGTAAAAATAAAAAATAAAATTTGAAATACTTTATAGAAAGGTTTTTCTTTCTAATTTCAACTTCCAAATAAAATAATAAAAATGAACCAAACCTCACATTAGCCATAATCCCATGGAATCACATTTAATGTTCAGATAAAGGAATAACTGTTCTAAAACTACGTTGAAAGAATGTTTTTGCGGAACTACTTGAACAAAGCGAAAAATGTGGTGGAATTTTAAACTCCGGCAACTTTGAACTGTTCAAGCATAAATCTATGGAGCTGCCCCTTTTCTCTCCTTTAATGGATGCTTTCCAAAGAGAAAAACATAGATCTTGAATGTACATCAACATGCCATTCCAAATGTTTAAGTGTCCAACTGATGTTTTTTGAGGCAAGAACAGGTTTCAACCTTGTGCACTCTAATCTACATCCCTTCGGATGTTCAGTGATTGTGGCTCAATGGTTTCCCAACCATCACTTTATGCACACCAGGAAGGCAAACCAGGCATGCATATAAATGATTATTGTGCTTAAAACCTGGAAGAATGAGTGAGTTCTAATAAAGAAAATGGCTGTGTGTGTTTCTGCGCACAGACGTGAAGTATCTTTAAGAGTAAAATGCCCATATTGAACTACAACCTACATATTTTTTGCCCTCATCAGAACACCTCCATCAAGCTCCATCTCATCAACAATCTGACCAGTTTTATGCAAGTTCCCTTTTGGTCGTCGTCCTACCATAAGCTTAAGAGTGTGAAATTTAAGGCGGGGGCCAAAAGTTTTACATTTATAGAAGCCACTACTACCTTCACTAAAAATATAGCTAGGGCGAGTAGGGATCGTCCCAAGGGATTGTGAGGATCAAACAAGGTTGTGGAATCGTTATTAGGGCTAGTAGATCAAGTGATCAAACAATTGGTTGGTTGGTTGATTAGAGAGCAATTAAATTAAACTAAGTGATAACAAAAGAATGCAACTAAGAGTAAGTAAGAGAGAGAAGAGTCTTGGGGTTTAGAGATCACCACCAAGCAATGCATTTCTATACCGTTGACAAGTGACTAATGAGGGCAAATGGTGTGTTGCAATATTGGTGTGTGTGTGTGTGTTTGGTTGATTCAACAAGTAAGGATGACTAGTTAAGCATGTATTGTCTAAACATCATGTGAAAGACACAATATATCTAAGCAATAAAGCATATATTGTCTAAACAACATGTGAAAGGCACTATAGATCAAAACAAGTCATTAATCCTTTCATTAAGCTCACAATCCAAATATAACATAAGGTTAGAGACATATGCTACTTGTATTCAAAAGCTTGGATCATCAAACAACGAGTATGGATTGTCCTCCCATTTAACACTACTCTACAACTACACTACTAGCATAAAAATAAACTAGGGGAGAGGCACAATCCATCAAGGAATAAGTAATGAACCATCAAGAGAATCACAAGAGCATTCCTTTAAGCACTATGTTTTGACAATCTCCAAATCTATAGCATCAATACACATAGACATGCATCAATAACACAAAATTTAGAGACAAGCACATAAACATCTATTCTGGCATACATAGACATATGGATAGAATGAAATGATCAATTGGAAACATTAAACCACATAAATCATTGAATAAACAAGATCTATATATATCAAAGTGTCAAAATATTAATTACAACACTAATCCCTCAATAATACACAAGATTAAGATATAGAAAGCATGATTGGGGCTAACTCTAGCCCCAAGAGGATGTCTAGCCACTCATGGTGATGTTGCTCTAACCCTTAAGGGCTAACTCCATAGAAGAAATCTGCTCCTTGTTGATGAAGAACTCTAATGGTGTCTCTAGCCTTTTCCTCCTCTAAGCTTGCTCTCCAAGAGAATAAACCCTAGAATTGTATATGTCTCAAAAAGTGCATCATATTCCTTTTATAAGTAGGTCAAATGACACACAAAATGAGCTGGGGTCGTGCAAAGAATATTCTCTAATGATTGGATAAAGGACGGATTGCACAAGCTGGAAATTTAACTTTTTCGCACTGGAGGAAGTTCGATCGATCGAACCTTGGACTTGGATCGATCGAACTGGCTGAGATCCATCGAACTTAGGCTGGATCGATCCAACTGGTTGAGCTTTTTAGGAAAAGACAAATCTGAGATATTTTGGGAGATATTTTTGGGAAAAGGACAAAAGTGATTAGTGGGTGGTACAGCTGTAGATAGGATCAATCATTTGAATAGGGACAAAAGTGTTCGATCGATCAAAGGGTGGTGTTGGATCGATCAAACTTTGGACTTTTTGCTTTTGGGCCAAGGCTTGGATCTATCTTGAAGTGCTGAGATCGATCAAACCTTGAAGTTGGATCGATCGAACTTTGCTGCTTCCCACCTTTGGCTTTATTTGCTTTCTTCTTTCTCCACTTTGCTCTTTTCTTTTTTTTAATCCCAGAATTGCTTCAATTAAGCTCTTATTTGGCTGAGTTAGCTTATTTTCGGGATAAGTGCCTGAAAATGAAAATAATACGAAATCAATCTAAAACTGTAAAGTAAGATAGATAAAGGTGCTAGAATACCTAAGCTTAAGGGGTTTAAATACGCACTTTTCAGCGCTTATCACCTTTCTTAAAGAAAAATTAAAAAAAGAAAAACAAAAGTTTTGGCCTCAACTGAATTCCCCTGTGCGCATGTTTAGATACAATTGAAACAAGGGCGGATCCAAGGTGGGTGAAGTTGGGCTTCAGCCTACCCCAAAAAAAAATTTTTTTTTTTTACCATGCTACTTTAAGCCCAGCCCAAAAAATAAATAAATAAAATAAATAAATAAATAAAATAGTAATGGTAGCCTAGTCCAAAGTTAGCCAGTCCAAAATTAGCCTACCCCATTTAGAAAGGCTGGATCCGCCCTTGAATTGAAATGCTTGGTTTAGATCACTCACCCTACAAAGGGCTTGGAG